GTGGCTTTGGGCCCACAGTTCTGCTGGTCCTGGGTGGCCACTGCTGCTGTGCTCCACAGAGGCGGAAGCTGAGGCTCAGAGAGGTGACAAGAGTCCTCAGACAGAGCAAGCTGCAAGGCTGGGCCACCAGGACCCGGGACAGGCTCCCTCCCGGCTCGGCCGCGGTGCCTCCCGCTTGGCAGCTGTGGTCGGAAGAGACTTCCCTGTACCCTCTGCGAGGAGGAAGGAGGGCACCGCTGGCACCAGAGCCGGGAAGGCTCGAGGAGAAAGTGCCGTCGGGGGCTTCGGACACTTCCTCCCGGAGGACCCCTTGTCAGGGCTGGTGCCCCGAAGCTTATTTCAGATGGATAAAACTGGAGTTGCCCTCCCTGGTACCCCTTGAGCCACCTTCCTACACCCACAGGCGGGACAGTGAGGCGACGAAGGGTTGAGCTAGGGCCTCGTCCAAGGTCACAGCGACTCCGCCGAGGACACGGGCCTCCCCACGTCTGCTCCAGGCTCAAATGGACTTGGGACAACGGAGAGAAATGGGGACCCAAGTGTCACCACTCACCTGCTGCCCAGCACTCAGCCGCCCGTCCCATCCCCCTGCTGTTCCCGGATGGAGGACAGTGTCCTGGCCAGGAGTCTCCCGCACCACCCAGGTGTCAGTGTCACCAGTAGGCAGGTGCCAAACTTCCTGCAATGGAAACCCAGGAAGTGCGCTGGCCGAGAACACACGCCCTTTGTCTGCCAGCTCAGGGCCCTGCTCGCCTCCTCCCTCCCTGCCAGGCTCAGACCAGCTCGTCTCCCTCCTGGCAGGCAGGGAGGCTTCTCCTGTTGGGGTTGCAGCAGCTGAGACCCCGGGTGACAGGGAAGGCGTGGGGGGGAGAGGTTTGGGGACAAGACCCAGGGCGGTGGGGACACCTGCTGCCATGCGGGCTGCTGGGATTACGGCCTGCACACAGTGGAGGGCTTCGACTCATGCTGAGTGGGGACCTACTGTGAGCTAAAGGTTGAGCCAAGGAGCCAACGGGGATCAAGTCGGGAGCCAACTAATCCTTGTCCCCACGGAATTTATAAGAAGGTGGGGGACACCGATGCGTAAAGCCAGTTAATATAATTACTGACGGGTTCGACAGAGCGAGTGGTGGGGTGGGCGACAGAAGGCCTCTCTGAGGAGGTGAGTTTAAGCTGAGATGATAGAGGAGAACATTGCAGGGAGAAGGGGGCGGTGGGGAGGTGGGCTTTCCTCCCAGCTCCCTGGGGCCGCAGTGACCTCGGACAAGTTTCCTCCCCTGTGATGGGGAGCTGCCCAGGCGCCCGCCAGCGGGGAGGTGTGTGCCTCCTTTTGCAGAGCTGCAGAGACCTAGGGCTGAAAGGGCACGCCAGGGTCTGGCACGTGGTCACGCCAGCTGGTCTCACAGTATGCTCACCAGGCTTCCCGAGTGTTTCCAGAACCAGCACAAGCCTGGTGAGCGTGGGGCGGAGAGGTATCCTTTCCAGGGCTCCCTGAGCCAGTTTCCCCAGCTTGGAGTTGCCCAGATGTGCAGCTGCATGAAGTCATGTGGTGTGGGGTTGGGGGGCTTGGTGAAGGGGAGGTGCACTCCGTGTTATTCAGCCTCTGAAGACCCCTGGACGTCCTAGCTCCTCCCTGGTCCTCCGTGTTCCACTTGGCTTGCTTAGAGCCGGGTCAGTCCTGGGCACCTGCTGGGGGTCGGGCCCTGTGCTAGGGGCTGGGCAGGAGGTGCAGCCGTACGGAGAAGCTAGGCGCCCCACACAGTGGCAGGGCTGGGCGGGACACCAATGTCTGTGAGTGATCCTGGCCTGCCACCTCCCAGCTTGGGCAGGTCGCTTCTCTCTGGGCCTCAGTTTCCTCTTGCCACACAGGGGTAGCAGTACCTCCCGTACAGCTTCGTTGTGAGGATTCGATGGGGTAAATGTGGACAGACCTACCCAGTGCAGGCTGGCTCCATGCATGATGGTTAAGGCAACCAGATTCCACATGGTCAACCCTGTGGTTCAAGTCCCAGGTCCGGCAGCTTAAGGGACATACCTATGTGTGTGCACAGGATTCTGAAAGGAGAGAGGGATGGAGCGAATAGGAACGCGAGGCAGGGCACTCGGGGACAATGCCACGGCTCAGGAAAGCCAGAAGTGGGGCCCGTCCCAATCCCAGCTGTCCCCAGGGTCACCACCTGCTCTATGCAGAGACCCTCTACTTCAGAACCATGTTCCCCCCACTCCAGGACCTTAACTCTGGTGGTCGGAGCCCTAGGTTCAGGCTCTTCTGAACCCAGCCTTGCGCTTCGTCTAGACCATGAACTTCTGGTGGTCCTCTGCCCCGCCCCACCCCACCCCCGCTTCAGCCTGTTGATCTTCAGTTGGTATGGAGATTTGCTAAATGTCTCACTTAGAGTGATCTAATTTTTATACCCTGTCGGACTTTTCACAAAAATAATTTGATAAGAAAAGAATTCCATTCCAGCCCAGGCATCCCAGTTTTTGTTTGGGAAACAGTCCCTGTGCCCATAAAAAGGAAAGGATGGCTGAGACCAGTCACTCCCAGCCCGGTCCCTGGTGGGTCCCAGGCCGTGCCAGGGGCTGAAAGGCTGGGATCCTTCCAGCAAAAACACTGGGCCCTGGTAGGAACCCAGAGCCCCTCTGCACTGGCAGGGGGTTGGCCCTGGGCCCACCTGACTGAGCCATTTCCTCCTAGACTGGGGCCATTTCCTGGCCAGAGGGAATGGGGCACACTCCCAGGCGGGGGTGGGCTGGAGTCTGTGCTGGGCGAGAGGCTTCTTCAGGCGTGTCCCCCACCTCAGCTACCACACCCCGCCATGAGGGGCCTGTCCAAGTGGTAGGGCTGGGAGTGGGGTTCAGAGGTTGGCTCAGCTGTGCTAGAGGGGCGGCCTTCCTAGAAACCACCCACCCCAGCTTTGGGACATTAGCCCAGATGTGCTCCCCGGAGGGGAGTGGAGAATCCCATGCCAGCCCCTGCCGGCTCCCACGCAGCACCCCAGTGACCCCAGCAGCTTTTGCTGAGAATGCAGTGGAGCCTGCAACCCTCAGAGTGCCTCCTCCAGGCCACAGTACCTTCCCATCACCTCCCTGGCCGCTCCCAGACAGCTGCAGGGAGATCCAGCAGAGGGGAGGTACCTTTGCCTGGGGCCCTCTCCTGGGGGGCGGTGCAGAATTAGGGCCTTCAGTCCCACATTGCTCTTGCTCGTGAGCTGGGTGCCCAGCGGGAGAACAGGCCTGTGGTGGTGCCTCAGGCTACCCTGACCAGTAGGGAGCTGAAACCACACTCGGGAACCTTGTAGAGGAGGGCCTGCCATGTTTCTCAGGCCCACCCCTGTCTGTCTCCCTGGCCCCATGTATTCTGCCCAGTCTGGGTAGCAGGGAGCACTCAGAGCACTTGAGCTCTGGGGTCAGGCTGCTGGGTTCAAATCCTGGCTTTGCCATTTATCACCTCCGTGCCCCTGAGCAAATGGACCACTCTGAGCCTCAGTTTCGGAGTAGGCCGGCAGGCAGTGCAGTGGTTAGGGCAGCTGGAGTCCACACAGCCAAGTGCATGGTTGAAGTCCCAGACTTGGTCATTTTTTTAATTAAAAAATTTTTTTTTAATTTATTTTTACATTTTTCCACAAACATTTACTTTACATATCAAAAAGTCGAGGTTATTTTATGTTATATATATTTTTGCTCAAACACCACAGTTCTTTTTCTTTTTTTTTTTTTTTTTTTTGAGGGTTTTTTCTTTAGTGGGCGTG